ATGTTTTAACAGAAAATTCACTTGTGAGGTGCTTTAACAAACAAGAGGAATAGTAACAAAAACATCTGGATTCTAAGGCGAATGACCTCTCTGACCACATCTCCATCTTCATGGCCCCTATCTACCACCTCCCGATGAGACGTTCCAGACCCACACAGAGGGTCATCACTGTGTGGACCAGCGACAGCGACTCTGTACTCCAGGACTGTTTTGCATGTACAGACTGGCAGATCTTCAGGGAGGCCGCTGTAAATGAGGGACAGCTGGATCCAGAAGAACAAACATCTGCTGCCCTCAGATACATCAGCAAGTGTGCTGAAGATATCACCACCACCAGAACTGTGAAGCGCTACCTTAACTAGAAACCCTGGCTGAATGCAGAGGTCCATACCCTGCTGAAAGACAGGGACACTGTCTTCAGGTCTGGCGACTCACAGGAACTGGGGAGGACAAGGAAAGAGCTGGTTGCTGGTAACAAGAGGACCAAAGACACATACTCACAGAAGATCCAGGGACATTTCTCCTCAAAGAACATGCGGAAGGGCTTTAAGTGTATAACAGACTATAAAAGCAGAGGAGCACAGTGCCCTAGGAACCCATCACTGTCTGATGCTCTTAACAGGTTCTATGCCCACTTTGAAGACGGAAACAGACCACCCAGCACCAGACTCACCTCATCATCTGAAGAGCAGTTCCTCAGGGTGACCTCAGCCGAAGTAATGAGGACCTTCAGAAGGATTAATCCTCACAAAGCAACTGGTCCAGACAACATCCCCGCGCAGGTGCTGAAAGACTGTGCCGATCAGCTCTGTGACGTACTGGCCGACATCTTTAACTCCTCCCTCATCCTGGCAACAGTTCCCACCTGCCTGAAGACTGCCACCATCATCCCAGTTCCTATGAGCTCTGCAGTGACTGGTCTGAATGACTACCAGCCAGTAACCCTCACCCCGATAGTTGCTAAGTGCTTTGAAAGACTGGTCATGACCCACATCAAAACAACCATCAACATTAACGAGGATCTTCACCAGTGCGCATACCACAAGAACCAATCAACAGAGGATGCCATCTCCTCTGTGGTCCACACTGCTCTCACCCTTCTGGAGCAGAAGGACTCCTACGTCCTTATGCTCTTTGTGGACTTCACATCTGTCTTCAACAACATGATCCCCCAAACCCTGATGGACAAACTACTCAAACTAGGACTAAGCCCCTCCATTTGCAACTGGGTACTAGACTTCTTAACAATCAGACCTCAGTCTGTGAGGATCCACAACTTCTCCTCCTCCACCATAACCCTCAGTACTGGCTCTCCTCAGGGATGTGTGCTGAGCCCCCTCCTGTTTACTCTGCTCACATATGATTGTGTAGGTACCCATCCAGGCTGTCACATGGTAAAGTTTGCAGATGATACAGCGGTGGTGGGATGCATCACAAACAATGATGAGTGCAGCTACAGGCAGGAGGTGGAACATCTGGAGAGCTGGTGCAGAGAGAATAACCTTCACAACAATGGGAAGAAGACAAAGGAGATCGTGGACATCAGAAGGAACAACCCCCCCCACCCCCACCCCGGGAATATAAGAGGATCTGCGGTGGAAGTGGTCTCCAGCTACAAGTACTTGGGTGTGCACCTGAACAACAACCTCAGCTGGAGCAACAACACCACCAGCCTGATGAAGAAAGCTCATCAGAGACTCTACTTCCTCAGGCGGCTGAGACGAGCTGGTCTGGGAAGCTCAGTCCTCACCTCCTTCTACAGGTGTGCAGTGGAGAGCATCCTGTGCTCCAGCATCAACGTGTGGCATGGAGGCTGCACAGCTGCAGAAAGAAAAGCTTTGCAGAGAGTGGTGAAGGCTGCACAGAAGATGTTGGAGTCAGCCTCCCCACCATCACAGACATCTACACCTCCAGATGCAGGAAGAGGGCCACCTGCATCATGAAGGACCACACTCACCCAGCACACACACTTTTTGCCCCGCTCCCCCCAGGAAGGAGGTTAGGGAGCATTTAACCAGAATAATCACTGTAATGCTACTTTAACTGGAGAAATGTCTCATCTGTGCTGCTGATTATCCATGCTGCTGATCTCTTGCCTTTAAGCTGCTGTATTCATATCCATCTGCTCACTACAGACTCATGTTCAGGCTGCTGTTTAATACACCTTATTATTTTACATTATTAATGTTTAGTGTATATCTTAGATTCTTGTATACTATTTGTTTATATACTTTATATTGTTGCTATTTTTGGGTGTAACTGGGACTTTGAGAACATAATTTCGTTCCACCTCATGTACCACATGTGATGCAACTGACAATACAGAACCTTGAACCTTGAAAATATTCCCTGAAACACCAGACAGGTTCCGATTAATCTCTTAGAAAGCGATCAATGTGTTTCTATCGAGCCCCCACCCAGTTTTCCACATCAATGATTAAACATGTTTCTGATTAACTGGCTGACGTGATCCGATACTTTCCACCCAAACATCGATCCCACCAGCAGAGCCTGAACGCCACGCCGACACACGAACGCCACGCTGACACGCACACAGAGAGGAGAGGACAGGTTCTGACCGGATGGCGAGCAGCTCCGTCTTCTCATCTGGATCCTCAGAACGATCACCTGTCAGTAAACAAATAGACATGTTAGTGTCACAAGGTTCGTCCCGTTTGGAGCGGGTCCTGAGCGACACGTTTCAATCAAGAACCGACTCACGTCCGCTGATCTTAGAGCTGAGCCTCTGGGCCAGAGCGCTGCCCTGGGCCAGCTGCTCCCTGAAGCTCTGGCCCATGTAGTAGTCCACGTCGTTGGCCCTCAGCAGCTCCTCGAAGGTCTTGGTGGTGTCACCCATGTGCTGGGTGAGGACGCTGCAGACGCCCCGGCCCTCACGCAGCCGCTGGCGCAGGTGGGACAGCTCCCGGGCCTGGGCCTTGATCAGCGAGTCAAAGCTCCTGAAAGAAACAGAACCAAGAAGAGACCATGACAGTTGGAACAGGAAGCTGATGAACAGGAAGCTGATGAACAGGAAGCTGATGGTAGTCGGAACAGGAAGCTGATGAACAGGAAGCTGATGAACAGGAAGCTGATGAACAGGAAGCTGATGGTAGTCGGAACAGGAAGCTGATGAACAGGAAGCTGATGAACAGGAAGCTGATGCCAGTCGGAACAGGAAGCCGATGACAGTCGGAACAGGAAGCTCATGAACAGGAAGCAAATGAAAGTCGGAACAGGAAGCTGATAACAGTTGGAACAGGAAGCTGATGACAGTCG